ACCGCTGAGAGCGTTTTTCACACATACATAATTTCACACATAAACACACACACACACACACACACACACACACACACACACACACACACACACACACACACACACACACACACACACACACACACACACACACACACACACACACACACACACACACACATCATAACAAAAGCTTTTTAAAAGTTGAGACACTAAAAACGTGATACAGCCCCACTTTAAAAATGATGAGATAGGAGACTATATAGCAAGCGGTCAGACTGATCCGATTGTGGCACTGGCCAGCGTATGCCCAGCAACAAGACAAACGTACTTCACCGGCCACGCACCTAATTTGGCACCAAATCTGAAATGTACGGAAACTGGGATAAACAGGAGCAAAACCTTTCCTTTGTCATATCAAAAACGCCTGCAAATGTGACTCCGGAAGCGGTGAAAAACTTTCATCAGATGTTGCAAACAGCAAGCTCCCCACTGCAACGCTGCATTGCTGGATGTTTACCCATGCGCGGTGTGCGGGCCGGACCAGGTCCTGTACCGCCCCTCGCCAGGGCTGTCCCTGGGGCGACAGCGTCTGATGAACAGGCGCCGGTGACGTCATGGGCCGTCCGGTCCGTGACCGTCCCTGTTGTGACAGCATGCCCGGCTGATCGTCCGTGTTTTGTGGCGGCGGCAAAAGCCGAGCAGCAGGCTCGGTTGCGTGTCTCATGTCATTTCCAAATACCGGGGCTTGTATAAATAACGCGACAAGTCTAAAAACAAGTGTGTCAATTAAACAAGTCCGTAAGAGTCCGTTAAGCTCTACTTTTTACTTCTGGAGAATGTGACAAACTGTTACTTGCCGGTACGGTGATTTCCAGTTACATATGGCTAAACATTCTTATCAGGCACAATACTGAGGCATCCACAAGCAGAGAAATACCATCTGCTTGCAGCCATTTAAATGCCCGCGAAACTGCGCTGTCCGGCATTACTGCGGTGAATTTCCGTTCAATTCACGACCGATGCAGAGGTCGAGGAGGACTTCAGAAACTGATAGGGCAGGCTTGACTTTTCCTTGTCAGGTGCAACGAGCTTGGGCTGAAAATATCTTAAAAGTGGTCAGTTTTCCTGAAAAAAATACTTTGAGCTACACATGTAGAAGATCGTGCCATGCATTAATTCATCAATTCGTATAGTTTCTATCACTGGTATCTTTTTATGGTATAATAAATCAGTAATTGGGCTGGTCCATTGCCCAAAGCGTGACAAATACGGCCTGGCAATACTTTATTATGGCAGCGTTCAAGCTCATCGTAGCCCTCTTCACGCTAACATATATATTTTTTGAAAATATCTGATTTTGTTACGCCTGCTTTTTTGATTTCAAGGACCTTTTTATTCCGGAGGTGCCTATGTGTACCCAAATGCTAAAGCTTGCGCGCAAAAATATATTTCCAGTCCCTTTCCTCCCTACTTCGTTCCAATAGCTCAGTCGATTGGCGCGATGTTTTGGAGCAAGACCTTCTCTCGCTTATTTCGGACGAGATGCCTCATATTGTACCCATTTTGATATACCATAGTGGACATCGATGGTTCGTGAGAATCGTTGCCATGAATCGTGGAAAATCGTGTCGTGAGAACCGTTGTGAACAATATATTGTCATTCTCACCTGCTTGGTAAGGATCATCCGTTTTCATTTCTGATAAAATGTGCACAGCCATAGACGCACCGCGCTGGCCAATGACAGTCATGAGCACAACATGACTATGGAACTTGGCGCGCTCTAAAGTCTCAGCCATTGACATTACAGGGACGCGCATCACAACCACGTGTGTCGTGCCGCCTTTGAGAAAGCAGTGACCTGCGAGGGCTGGACGCAGGCTGCCCGTGATGGGCCAGCATCGTGAACAACTACATCGCCAATGCGCAGCGTACTGCGGGGTCGATGTGAGTAGCTTCTGGATCACCAGTAATCGAGTCCACCTCGGGTCCCCGCTGGGCGATTGCATTGTCTTTTTCTGGGGCATCATCTCCCATGGTGACAATCTGACCGAAGGAGGTCAAAGGGTCATTGAACAAGCGCTTAACATGCACTCTTGTGGGTTCCTGTGGGAGGAGCAATTTGACCCTTCGAAGGCTTTCCAGAATACTTCCGAACGGCGCGGCGCAACTTTGCACAACTGTGGGCACTTGACCGCCACATCCGTCATAACTGAGCATATGTGTCTACATACTCGGTTATGGCGCTAATCTTAACACGCGGTCAGGTGGGGTGGGGGTTTAGTTTAACCCTCCCCCCCCCCACCCAGGTTATCCCAGAATCAAATTTTGCATAGCTGCAAGCAATTAAATAGCGGATCTAAATTTTGGACGTTACTTGCAAGGTCGCCGACCTACGGCAAGTCAAAGCCAGGACATGGGTTCAGCAAAAACAGGCTCCAGGGAATCGTTCAGTCTGTTGCAACAACGGAGTATCAGATGAGGTGATACATCACTGAAACAATGTCTTAAGCAACACAAAAATTGAATTCATAAATTCGAATGATCTAGGGTCAGATTTGAATGTCATATTAAGGTAAAAAAAAAAACAGCCTCCTCTTTTACTCTAGAGCCTGCTGTAAAAGGTTAGTTTCTGTTGCTTATTTTGAATTTATTGACAGCAGGATCCACATGATATATTGCCCATGGACTTCTTACAGGTCAGAATAGGTCCATGGCCTAAACTGACCGCGGTCAACATTTTGTTTTTAGGGACATACTGCGTATGGCGTAATATAGCGCAATCGTTGACGCTCATTCAAATGCGGGAATGCAATCAGTCTTGTAATGATTTAGCCACCTTGGGCTTTTTCAAAATTCAAAAAGGTCAAACAAAGTCACTGACCTTAAATGAGCACCTGTGACCTTTTGTTTAGAACAGGTATCTAGGTGCACGGTGGTTGTGTGAGAAGGTCTGGAGGCACTTTGGGCACTGATCTGGATTTAGGCATTCGTGACCTTAGCTAACCCGAAGATCATGACCTAGGAACCTTACATTTTGACAAAAGTGAGTTCCGTACAGGGTAATGCATTTTGTAAATTTAGTGTGCGTAGCTCTTTTAGTTTCTGGGATAACAATAAGGGTAAATTGACCCCACAGCCGAGCGAAGGGTATTCAACTGAGAGCCCGGGTGCGTGTTAAGTTATTCTCTTACAAGTCTTATTTACGTAATAACAGCAAGGATATTCAGCTTCGTATATTATGTAGCACAACAAGTTATCAGTGTTTGAAACTTGCACAGCCAGTACAATAGTGGTTGATAACCAATTCAGGTCCGTCAGATTTGAAAATCGTGCCCACATACGCCAGATGTGAACGACTTGTCAATTATTATTTGTCTTAGCCTTGAACGTCGCGTGGCCGATGGGGTGGCAAAGTTTGAATAGTGCATGTACGACGTCATGCATGCCTGAATGACGTTGAAATAGTTCGCACATCTTCGTTGGCGCGCAGCTCAGAAACAAAAGTTTTGGGTCTTAAGATGGCAGTGATGTGAAACTGCACCGAATAATATCTTAGATGGCTATTATAGTTAAAAACCCCCATACAGCTGAGTTACCAACGGTGCATAGCGTTGTGGAACTTGACGTTTGAAACCCACCGCGACGGCATGTCTGGCCAGGGTGTTGTTGAGTTGGGAGGCCCACGGTCGGCTGAGCCCCCCCCCCCCCCCCCCCCCACCCAAACCGATGTTAGAAAGTGACACCCTTGTAACTATCACTTCCCTTCCGTGCACAGGTATCGCAATATTCTCACCGAGCTCCACGAAGCTGTTGATCGACCCCCCCCCCCCCCCCCCCCAATGGCCTATCCTTGTCGAAGAGTGTCTCGTTTGAGCGACGTGGCTCGTTCGTTCGCTGTTCCAGTGCGCCCCTTACCAAACGCTGCTGCCATCTGTGGGTGATTTTTAAAAGTCTTCAGCCGCGCTGCCCGGCTGGACTTCGAGAACATCTTTGAATCGCCGAGGCACACACACATTTTACAAGCTCGCTGTCAAAACATTCGACCTTCCCTTGCCTCCCTTACATTCGAACCTCCCTTACCTCGCTTACCGGGCAAGCAAGACACTACCGTCACACGGTCCCTCAGATGATCCCGTGCGACAGAACAGAACAATCTTTTCGGCATGGTTTTTTGTCGGGCATCCGCTACGTTCTACAGATGGCGCGTCATAGCACGACACAACCAATAGTGCTCAACACGCAGGGTTGAGGGCCATGGAACGGCGAATTTGCAGCAGTCCACATTTCGCGTGGCGTGTGCGTTTTCGCAACAACCGTGGCCAAACCGATGTCTGATCATGACGCTTGTGGGAGGCAAGAACAGCAAGCACCAATACCTGGATCATCCGATTCATTTTTCACGTACGCGTGAAGCTTCGACTTAAGTCATTTAGCGTATGACCCGCAAGGACCTGCGGTGCGCCCGGTTCAGTCGGCCACGCCCGAGCACAGCTGTTCGCTTCACCCTGTAGCGCGGACTGCATGAAGTGCCGCGGGCTCATAGCGCGTGCTAATTGGAGCCCGCCGCATGTGCCCTGATCCCATCACCAACCCCGGACCGAACAGCCGTAGCCGTGGCCGAACGAACTTCTCAATTCATGACGGGTGTCTCAATTCAAACTTCTCAATTCATGAGAAGTTTGTTCAGCTACGGCTTTTGGCCACGTATTACTGCGGAGGGCTTCACGCGCCGCGCAAGCAGTGCTACGGCGCGGCTGTCCCGGGCCCGGCGACGCTCCTTGGCTGGTGGCCGCCGACATTCCGTGTCAGGACAGGTGTTAGCTGTGTCACCTGACATTCCGTGTCAGGAGGTCCGATCCATGCGTCCGCTGCGGGGCTAGCGTCGCACGCCGCTGGATGCCGTGTCCTGCAGCCTTTCGTGGCCTATGCACGTGGCACTCGGAGTGGAGCGCCTATCGATCCCAATTTTTGTGTTGTATGTGAACACGCACACAGCTGCCTGAAATACACACGCATGTGAATCGCAGCCGCCTGTTTACTTCGGGCATACCCAGCATGGCCGTGACGAACTGAATGCTTTCAAAAGTTGAAAATCGGGACACACCACGGCCGAACGTTGATGCCAGTCATCACTGCACCTCCAGCAGGTCTGCCAGCCTTCGCGTGCATTTCCACGATTAGATTACAAACACGAATAAAATATTATTTAGCACACCACGTTTCCGATCATCGAGCTCCCCGCCGATCACAGCTACGACGTATAATTTGACGTGGGATATAAACTCAACAGGTGCATCCCGCCGGACGTTTAACGCGTGGCACTATGTTATTACAAAAATGTGCATATTCCGGCACTCACTTGAAGCGAAGCAATCGCCACACAGGTGGCATCGGCCCCCAGCAATTTTGTTTGATGCGTTGCGCGCCTCACAAAGCGCGCACAAACACGCGTCAGCCTATATGACACGCAACGATGCATACCTGATGAACATAAAGCGATCCAGCAGCGTCTCCACGCCGGGATCGGGGGCGCCACTGGATTACGTGCGGCGCAAAACAGCCGGGAGGCCAACACCACACTCGCAGGACACCTGGCGCTTATCGAAAGCACGTTCGCCCTAGCGGGCTTCGGATAATGCTGGGTTCTTGCTTCACCGGAAAAAGCCACACCTCACCGGGGCACAACCGGGTGAGCGTGCCCTCGCAAAGGCTTAGCTCCTCTCCAGCAAGCCGCCCGGCGTATGCGCAAGAGCACCTAGTCCTCCCACTCGTCATCGTCCTCCTCGTCCTCGTCCTCATCCTCGTCCTCGTCGCTGGAGTGGATGACCCGCTTGCGGTCGGCGAGGGCACGGGCCAACGCGCCGGCCAGGCCGGGTGGGGCAGCCTCGGCGGCCGGCGGCGGCGGCGGCGCGTCGCTGACCGAGCGCAGCGTGGCGCCCTCTCGGATCTGCTGCATGAGGTCGCTGCGCCCGCTCCCACCTCCACTATGCGTGTCGCCGGCGGCGGCCACGGGCCGTAGCTGGATCCCAGTGCGGATCGAGTCCATCAGCTGACTGCGATCGCCAGACGCGCTGGGCAGCGAGGAGCCCGGTTTGCCCGACGCCGCCGGCGGCGGCGGTGGTGGCGGTGGAGCAGGAACGCCAGACGGCGGAGGCGGAGGCGGCGGCGGCGGCGGCGGCGGTGGAGGTGCCGGTGCCGAGCTGGACAGCGGCGGCGGCGGTGGCGGCGGGGCAGGCGCCCCCGACTTGGCGGCGGCCGACGGCGGCTGAGGCGGTGCCTGGCGCGTGCGACTGGGCGGCGGCGGCGGCGCGGCGCCATGGTGCGTGAGCCCGGGCGTGGAGCGGACGGGCGGCGCCGGCGGCGCGGCCGGCCGGACCGTGCGCGGGCGGCTGCCGGGCCGGCACTGGTGGCGGCGGGCCCGCACCGCCCAGCAGGTGCACCTCCTTGATGGCCGCCTCCACGCCGCCGTGCTTGTCGATAAAGTCGTAGATGAACTGGCGCGTGTCCTGGTCCTGCAGCTGGGTGTCCGACACACCTGCCCGGTTGAAGAACTGCTTCAGGTTGGGGTCGACGTTCTCCAGGTCGAAGCCCTTATGCGGGTCCCAGCCCACGTGCGATATGTGCTGGAAGTTGGTCGGCAGCGAGATGTCCTGCTTGCTGAGTTTGACCTTTCTCGGCTTGCCGCGACGCTCGACCTGGCGCGTGGCCACCGGCCGCTGGGTGGGCAGCGTCGCCGCCCGCGGCACGCTGCCGTTCGAGTGACGATTCTCAGACACCTGCCGCGACCTGGAGCGCTGTTCCTTCTTCAGCTGCTTGTTGCGCAGGTGCTCTTCCATCCGCTGACCGAAGCGGTAGGCTTCTGTCTCGTCCGCGAAGTTGAACCCCGCCTGGCACGAGTCGGCCTCGAATGTGTGGAAGAACTTCCGGGTCCGGTGGTAGTGGAAGTTCTGGTAGAGCTCCTGCTCCCACAGCCGCGCGTCCGGCCCGAACAGCTGCAGGAAGTAGGCGCGGCGCGCATTGTCGCGCACAAAGCAGACGACGCCGGTGCCGTGTCGGATCCAGAGCGTGTGCGTGGGCGGGCTGGTGCGGTACAGCTGCACTATGGCCGTCGCCAGGGTCTGGCATCGGTCGCCGAGCAGCCGGAACAGGCGCTGGTTCTCCTCCGCGCTCAGCAGCTGTGTCGGCACGTTCTCCGCCGGGCGTGCCGTGTGGCCTCCGGGCATCTGGGCGGGTGGCATCGGCATGGTTCACTGCGGACAGAATGCATTTAATGCAAGCTCCCTATTGGTGCCACATAGGGCAATTATTACGACTACTTAAAACTTGCACCATGTCATAAGCATGAATAGTTGATAGTTTGTTCCAAAGGCTTATTTTTCATGCAGCTGGCAGATGACATGCCATATGTAGCTACCCCAACTGATGTTTCCATCCAACTGCCCAAAATACTCAAAACATGCAACTGGAAACTTTTGACAGTATAAGATCTGTTTTTCTAAAGCTCCAAATGTAAGGAGAGTGTGGGATTCCTTTTGAAGTAAGATAACATCCTGGATCTGACCTTGAGATGAGTCATTTAAGTTACTGAAAAGACAAAGATGTTCCCCTAATGATAAAAATTTTATCTTTGGCAGCTACATATCAAATGTCCACCCACATGCTACATGCTACTGTTATCTGTCACAGACACCATAGTGCAGTTTGTATGAGTGTTTTATAGGATATGATTTAGCACCATTTTGACCATGATTGGCTGACCCATTAGGCCCTAAGCATTCTGCTAAATGGACATTGTTCCGCCATGCGTACAAGTCAATCATGGTCAGCATTCTACTGAATGAACATTGTAAACCAATTGTACAAGGCAATCATGGTCAGTGACTACTATCCTGCTAGGCATTGTTTTATTGCCTTGTACAAAGCAATAGCAAGCAGATACCCATATAACCTGCAGTTTGCAAAAATGGCAACTAACAATCTCACTGTACAATCATACCCAAACATGTTCCATAGTATCAAATGTTACATGACAATCTCTGAGATTATGATTAACAATAAATGTCAGTAGTACAGCCGATATCCAGTATTCCACACATTTCCTCAGTCTCTCAATTTGTCACCTGCCACTCAGATTCTGGCTGCGTTACCAATACCATCAGTAACAAGGCCAGGGAAGGGGAGGAGGCTTTTGAGGCCATGGCTTGCTTGGAGGAACAAAAGCCATGCTGGCACTAAGACCAGTATCATAAGAAGCTAAGGATGCCCACACAGCTCTTTAAAAACATAACCCTGAATCATGAAATAGGATCCTGGAACACATAGTTACCACATCCAAAAGTTTGTTTGTTATTGGGGCTTTACAACACACTCAGCTGCTGAGGCTATATGGCGTCGCCTGCCTCTCACCCTGGCAGGAAGGGCGGGCACCGCGGGGAATCGAACCCCATACCTCTGGTTTCCCAGACGCGCAGTGGTTAACGCAGACACGTTAACCACTACACTACCTGGCATCCCCCACATCCAAAAGTAGTGTCCTTTGTGATGAATAGGTATCCACAGGGCTTCATGTCTTATTCTTGTTTGTAACATTTTTATTGACACTATACACCATTTTACCATGACTTTAAAATGCTCACCAACATCAGTAATTCTGTACAACACTTTGAGTGACAACTGTTCCTACAGTGACTCATAGGGCCCTTGCCAATGCACACCAGTGCAGAACATGGTGTCTATTTGTGTTCCACTCAGGCCAGCTGCCAAGGCCAAAGTTCACTGACCAATCTCCTTTGATTATCATCACAGCCACAGTCAGTAACAGATGCCAACATGCTGCCTTTGTATGAGTCACCTTTTACACATAAAAATTTGGTCAGCATACTATGGCCCAAACCCAAAATATGGACACAACTCAATAATTAGTGAGGGAAGCTGGGCCCCCGCAAATGAATACAAATAGACACCCATGGGGCGAGAGGTGAGTTGAAGTGTGAAGCCACGCCCACGGTCTCATTTCTCTTTAACCCCAAACTTCATCACATTCAGCCTTCACTTTAATACATCGGCAAACCTCCACTCAGCACAACTGTAAATAATTGCTGACAGCAGCAATAACCGCTCGAGCATGACTCACCCAAAACACTTCCCCCGCGCCCCCTCACCTTAAGGCTCCGCGCCCAATAAACGCCTAAGCGCTTGTTCAAGGTCTGTGGAAGATCGGTAGGGCTGTTCGGCGATTTCAGCGCCCATCCGCACCACCTTGGCGTGATGTCACTGGAGTCTTCACTGAGCAAGCGCTGGGCGAGGCACCGCGTGGGGATATTCCGAACGGAATAACTGTTTCGGTTAGTTTATTCCGCCCGTCAAGATTCATGTAGCACCCATCAAACATAACTTAACATCTGTTATTGATGCCGACAACCATGTTGTCGTCAAAAGTGATAATGATGATAGTGATTATTATTATCATTGCGAGCCTTGGCGAAATCCAGCGAGTGGCTATTCTAACGCCACGTCAGTACATACCACATAAATAAACACAGAACACGCAACACATGCAAATGAGACGCAACGCCAGCGATACACATACAACGTTATAAAACAAGAGCGACTCATGATGCAATCAACACCTGCACGTTATGGCCGGTTGATTCCTCGTGGATTCAGGAAGCTTGAAATGTATCGTTTGAAATCTGCATCGTACCAACCGAGGTGGAACGGTAGCGATGGTGCCAACGCAACAAGTCAAGCTCACGCAGTGAGGCTCACCGCTAGCGCTTGGCCATTGCCTGTTTCCATATAGCCCACACGCACGCATCAACGGCCCTACAGAGACGGGCCAGCTTGGGGGCCCAGCCGTCCATCAGGACGCCTCTGCCAAGGCTGGCCGGCCAGGCGCAGAGTTGCAAAGCGCAGTGGTCGGCGCGCTGTTTCCCTGGCAGGCCTTAGGAATACAGTCTGGTGACGAGCCCCCTGTGACTTCAGCAGCCCCGCATCAGAGCCTGACCTCGCGTCACATGGCTGTCGCCATGACCTCAGCATGTCCCTCACGTAAAGCCTGGGTTACGCGAGAACCAGATTATATTTCAATGTCAAGAGATGACTGGACTCCACTTGAATTGGCTGAACTGAACTGGACTCAATTAGTCTGGACTGAACTGGACTGAATTGGACCGGACCGGACCAGACAGAAAATGTTAGAGCAGACCAACACGGCACAGGACGGGACTGTGCCGTCCTGTAACGGACTGCAACGCTTTTGGTCGGATCAACGGTCTCGTGTCGTCCTGTTTGGGCCGGTCCGGTCTCGTCCGTCCGTCACGTGGTTGTCGGTCTCATATCCGACTATGTGTCCGATCATGGCTAGCCCATGGCTTGGTTTAGTCCGGTCCAGTCCTGCCCAGTCCGATCCGATTCCCCGACCCTACTCAGTGTGGTCCGACCCTGCTCAGTGTGGTCCGACCCTGCTCAGTGTGGTCCGACCCTGCTCAGTGTGGTCCGACCCTGCTCAGTGTGGTCCGACCCTGCTCAGTGTAGTCCGACCCTGCTCAGTGTGGTCCGACCCTGCTCAGTGTGGTCCGACCCTGCTCAGTGTGGTCCGACCCTGCTCAGTGTAGTCCGACCCTGCTCAGTGTGATCCAACCCTGCTCAATGTGGTCCGGCCCTGCTCAGTGTGGTCCGACCCTGCTCAGTGTAGTCCGACCCTGCTCAGTGTGATCCAACCCTGCTCAGTATGGTCCGGCCCTGCTCAGTATGGTCCGGCCCTGCTCAGTGTGGTCCGACCCTGCTCAGTGTAGTCCGACCCTGCTCAGTGTGATCCAATCCTGCTCAGTGTGGTCCGACCCTGCTCAGTGTAGTCCGACCCTGCTCAGTGTGGTCCGACCCTGCTCAGTGTGATCCAACCCTGCTCAGTGTGGTCCGACCCTGCTCAGTGTGGTCCGACCCTGCTCAGTGTAGTCCGACCCTGCTCAGTGTGGTCCGGCCCTGCTCAGTGTGGTCCGACCCTGCTCAGTGTAGTCCGACCCTGCTCAGTGTGATCCAACCCTGCTCAGTGTGGTCCGGCCCTGCCAATTTCGGTCCAGCCCTGTCCTGTCCGGTCCAGTCCGGTCCGACCCTGCCCAGTCCGGCCCAGTCCTGCCCGGTCCGGTCCGACCCTGCCCGGTCCGGTCCGACCCTGCCCAGTCCAGTCCAGTCCTTCCCGGTCCGGTCCGACCCTCCCCAGTCCGGCACAGCCCCGCTGTCTTCGCCTTTGGATAGAGTACGCTGTATTTGGTCCACTCAGGCAAACGTGAGATGAGAGCCCGCTATGCGAGTGGGGGGAAATGGAACCGAAAGCCGCATTCCTCCCATTGCAGATTCCTGGAAAAACTTGAGGTTCGACAGCCACATTTAATTCGGTAACATTCCAATGCCGCAATGCCTCTATATTCCAAGCACACGCCATTTGTTGAAAATATATTTTTTCGTGAAGTCCATGGCCGTGCGCATATCCATGGATGTGCGCGTGTCTGACTAGCAACCAATCACAAACGAGCGTACATGCAACTCAGCGCATGACTCATAGGAACAATGCCGTGACTAGATGTGCTGATGAACTAGATGAACAATGCCGTGACTAGGCAACCCAATCCTCACTTGCGACCAATAAGGTAACCTGACGCAGAATCATGACTCCCGACACTGATTCCACGATTGAAAATAAAACGGCACACCCAGTAATCACACAACGTAACACGGCCCGGCGACCGGCTTTATAGGTGAAAGTGACATACCGACCCCTACAGGTGGCATTTCGCAGGTGACATACCGACCTTGGGCGCGGTGAGCATCTCACTCCGGGTGGACATTTTGCATATAAATCTGACCAAACAGATGTGGGACAAAGAAGGGCCAGATCGGATCATTTAACGCGAGTTTTTCTGATCTGCAGCTTGGCATCGTGCCATGAGCGTTAACGACAGCTTGGACGCCTTTAAACTCATCTATCATGCTGCATATTTCCTACCATATTGTGAGCGGTTGTTGAAAAACGCGGGACAGAATCAGACCCAATCAGTACATCAGGTGATGTCACCACGTTTTGTGAGAAGTCAAAAAACCCTCGGAGATAGCATCACGTCTCCTACGGGCTCTTAGCACACCTAGCACCACGACCATATTAAAAACTATAGCGGGCTTCTAACATCCGTGATCGATGTGCACCGAAATACGTTGGCTGGCATGCAATTACATTAAGGCGGCCCAAGAAGCGCCGGCAGCCCGCTGTTTACCGGCTGCGGACGACCGTGGACGGAATCGTTTGTGAGCTTCAACACCCGACGGCACACGGCGTGGGTTACACGAACACAACATAACCACACACTGCACTGGCGCAGCGTTCAGAGATCACCCTATGGGCTGTAAACCTAACCCCGAGAGCAGTGCCGGAACAAAGCGAGTGGGGAATGCACACTGAAACAGCATGGTGTGGGGCGTGCTGGTTGTACACGACCCGACCAACAAATAACACAAGAATACGATAAACGTAGAATAGAATAACACTGGTCACAAGAGTGCGTCGGAGCCGTCCAAAGCGGCTACATTGAGATCAGCCAGCGGACGTCGGGCAGCTAAACCTCGACCGAACGCGGAACCGGCACGGACGGCAGACGGTTTCCACCCCACACGAAGCTTCCGACTCGGCGGCGGTGACGTATCCGCGTTTCGACGTCACCCTACACGGCCACGGCCACCTCGGCCACGGGCATGCTGATGACGGCCGAGAGGATGGGCCGGGTCACCTGACCGCGCGTGACGAACACGCGCACCTTGTCGGAGATGCCCAGGTCCGAGACGAACTCGACCAGCGTGTCGTACACGTACGTCACTCCCGGGATCAGAATCGGTACCTGTGGGAGGTACAAGTTAGTACGGCAATCGGCGAACCGGAACTTACAAGTCACTGCTCTGCGCTGGTTAGCAATGAAAAAGCTTCACAGCTCGCTAGCAGCCTGGCCAAACTCGCAATAGTGACCCTAAGGAATTATGAAGTTCCAAAAACGTTGCCTGGAAGTCTGATTCATTCCAAGGGAAAACAGCACGTAGGTTTAAGTCAAAACAAGAGGTCGATCAGCTTCATAACATCACGTGCTGCCTTACATGAATGAAGCGCTGCTGAACGTGGTAGAGCTTCTCGTCAGCATGGACGCGGATACCCAGCTCCTGGACGATCTTCAAGGCGGAGGTGTTCTGAAGCTCGACACGGATTTTGAACATCGGTCCCAGGCCGAGAACCTGTCGAAACAAGCATGGGTGAGAGGTGAGTGCATATGGACAATGTTCCCACAACCTTGTGAAAAGGGTGTTTTTGAGTACGCTGCGGGAGAATCTGGCCGAGGTCATTTGTCCCCGTTCACTCCCGATTCATGCGTGCTAAATACAGCTGGTTACAGGAAAGTTGGCGATGGTCGGGTCATGAGCAAAAGCCATAAGCACAGGCCCGCTCCTGACGAACTCGTGCGCTGAAAGATCTCCAGCGCGTCAGCACTGCCACGGCCCACGCGAAGCAGCGCTCATCACCATCCGGTCCAGTTCGTGCGGACTGGCGAAGGTCACTGACGGAGCTCGTCGCCATCTCTGGCCTCTGACCCGTCCATCCCTGCACCCCTCTGGCCGCTCCGACTGGGACGCACCTGGGCCGCCAGTCGTATGGGCTGCTCGTCGGTGGTGACCGGCGTCAGGCTCATGTCCAACGACTGCACGTACTGGCGGGCCGCGTCCAGCCGCAGCAGGTACAGGTTGTACTGGAAGATGCGGTGCATGGCTGCCCGACACCGACACGCAGACAACGGTCAAGAGACGAGACATCACTGCTCAGGAAAATGGAACATGAGCAATGCTCACCATGATCAAACTACCGGCCACCAGCCGGTTGAACAGAGTTCCATAAACTCTAAATGTGCAGATGGCGTCACACACAGTTGTCACATACTGACCAAGATGCTCACCAATGTTTGTCTTTTTCTTAAGCAGATAATGTTAAACAGACTGAGGCTGGTTGAAGACTAGATGGGCGCTAAGGTCGGGGTTCGCTCATCACTGTACGGATGTGAAGCCCTTTAAATCCTAGTGCAGACTTTCCAGCTGGCGGAACTAACGGGGGTGACAGTTCACACTTTAATTCAGAAGGAGTGCAATCACTCTGAGGTCAAACATTGCGTGAATTGGGCTGCTATGAAGTGTGTGTTAAAAGGGTGGCGGGACAACGAAAATGATGCAGCCAGTGCCGAGAATCGCAGAGCCCATAAAGATCTCAATCACCTCGGGGTATACCATCGCTGAGAATCAACTGCCGTTCTAATGGAATGCATGAGAGGTTATGCTAGTACCACGTAGATCAAAATACGGCTTCCAAAGCATGCCGATTCGGCGGCTGTGTCCTGAACAGCGTTCTGGCACATAACATTTAGTCCAGTCCCGTCAGCAATGCCAAAGTTTGCCGAAATGGATTGCAGCGAACTGATAGTGCTTTCCAAACATGTCTCGTTTGCACGGCAGATCTCCATAAAGCTCTACCATCAGTACGTTAGCCGCAGGCCGGCTCACTAACGCTGGCCTCTGTGCTGTTCACAGCGTTTATAAGCCTTATTAAAATGCCTCAAATAAGCCTCGCGAAAACGATCAACTTCATGCTTTGGCTGACCAAGGGACACTTCCCGGTGTCACGTACAGTGACCATTCGTGCCACCCATTCACTGCACATAGTTATCATGATAGCCTTCGGGGTCCAGATGTGTACCTCCTTTAAAATTGTGTTACATTCAACACCACGGTTGTTTCTTTCAGATGTGTACCTCCTTTAAAAGAGTGTTACGTTCAACACCATGGTTGTTTCTAAGTCAAATCGCACGCTTACGATCGGAGCCCCACGCAGGAGCCACGCATAGCTTCCAACTGTCAGACTCAAGCCGACAGTCGTCAAACTATCTGGTGCTGGGGTACGACCCCGTACGCATCAACGTCAGTTGCAGAGACAGGCCATATGTCCCGGAGCTCCTACCATACTCACACTGGGAGTTCTCCCGCTCCCGCATAGTCTGGTCCACAAACAGCTTGGTCTTCTTCGGAATGTTGAGCTTGAGCTCGCGGGCGCCAGGCCAGCGCGCCGGCCGGCTCCTGTGGCTCGAACTTCGCGCGTCGGCGCAGGATCTTCACCTGGAGTCCGCCGCCTGCCGCCAGGGGCGCCACCGTCACCCGCCCGCTCACCAAACTGCTCCTCTCGGGCGCCGCAATCGTTGAAATCTCGTGAATTGTGCGCTGTTTATCATGAATTGTGCACAACCCAAACCCCGCCCGAGCCGACCGCTCAGATTCGTTTTGCAGAAGGCCTCACTGCTCCATCTGACAAGCCGTGCGCCGTATCCCCTTTATAGGAGCGGCCATCCCTTCCGCATCATCTCTGTGGCCTAGACAAGCGCCGTGACCTCTCGACCAGTGGACCACCGCATCCTCATTTTACGGGAACGTGGCGCACGTCGACATGCATGGCTTTCTGAGCGCCAGCAGCCGCGGCTGTTATCCTGACTCGTCGGGACTAGCGGCGCACCCCCCCCCCCCCCCCACCCCCACCCCGAAGGGCCGGCGAGTGACCCGCTCACCCTGGTTGACGATGAGCAGCACATTCTCCTCGCGGCCGAAGCGGCCGAACTTGAGCGCATTGGCCGGCTGGTCCAGCTGGAACGAGTCGACCAGCTGGCGGTCCTGGTAGGTGCGCACCTCGCCGCTGGTCAGCGACACCAGCAGCAGCTTCTGGCCGTGGCTGGCCAGGTCCATGGTGGTCATGCAGAGCAGGCCGGCTCCCAGCCGCAGACGCCACAGCAGCTTGCCCTGCGGACGCCGCCGACCGCCACGGCAGCACGTTATCTCGGCGCGTCGCTCCGGAGACGCGCAGTGTGCGGCCGTGCGTTCGAAAACGGTGCAGATGTATCAAGCTGTATCGAGTCCATAACTCTCCCGCCGTCCTTGTACACGTAGCAGGCGGTTCTGTCTCATCCCTCGAATACCACAGCAGCCCGCTTAGTTGATTAGAGGAGCATATCGCGGCAGTCCTGAGTCTGCTATGGAAATCCGGAGTATATAGTACAGGACAGGAGTCTGCGATCGGCGTCAGGGGCCTGTGGACGTCAAGAGTCGGCGGGTCTAAGTTTGCGGGCAGTCTCATGGCCTGAGATAAGAGTTAGAGGCCTGTTTTAGGGAACAGTAATACACAAAAGTCCGGAGTATGTGACGGAAGTCAGAAACATTTGAGGAGTCTGCGTCAGGAAGCTGTCAGTCTGCGATATGAATCAGTAAGTCACAACAGAAGTCCCGGCCCTGCCAGTCCATTACACAGACATCACAGTCGGAAACCAGGCCGGGAGCGGGCCCGCGAGTAGCGAAGCATCGAGCCCCTCCCTCAGGACGTGGCCGAGACGCAGCGCCCGCGAGAGCGACGCGCCCCGCTCACTGACGTGGTTGGAGAAGCAGTAGATGTGGTCGTCCATGCAGCCGACCAGGAAGGTCTTGTCGCGCCGCTCGAGGCCGACCGGCTGCGAGGAGAGCTCAGCCGTCAGCCGGCCGTCCTCCATGCCCCGCTTGGCCGTGTAGATCTTACCTGCGGGGCAGAGGCACAGCCGGCTAGGGCGCGGCGACAGGCACGGGCATCGCCGACTAGGCGGGGCGCGGGGGGGGGGGGGGCGGCTCGAATGACGGGGCTCGATGTGTCAGCAGGTCACGCGACGGATGGGACGTGAGAACATAGGCATTTGCCAAGTAGTATCTAGGTTCAGACTCTGACCAGAATAAAGTGGCTTTTCTTTTAAAATCGGCTTACGGCTTCCCTGCGCTCATAGCACTCGAGCGGTTCTCAACAACAGGTTTAGTTGAAATTGCACAAGAGAAGAAAATACATGGAGTGAAACTTTATGAAAGATGCATGTTGGGTCCAACAACAGAAAAGCGTACGTAATTCACTTTGCAGATAAACGCATTCAAAATATTCCAGTTAACCCATAGTGTAAAAACAAACCACGCTTTCAAAAAACTAGCCCCGAATAGCCAGCAACGCCAACATATATCAATGTGTAGTGGCGGAGCCAGGGGCAGAGTCCGGACGACCCAGGATCCACCAAACACGTTCGAAGAAGGACCACCGAAGCTTGAAACTTTCCTTAAAATTTAAATGCGTGGTGGGCTAAGCGAGCTATTCCTTCCTTGTACCCTCCACAGTGGCATGCCTAGGAGTTTGCCTAGGCTGGGGCCAAGCCTGATTAACTGGCAACTGGTATCCAAGGAGGCCGATCCTAACCCCTCTCAGGGGAAGGGGGAGGGAGGCATCTTTAGTTCTGGCCATTATTACACTCGAGTGCCCTTTTCTGACGTATCGGTGTCCATTATACTTGCTACGCATACGCTCTGGATGGCAAAGTCGCCCTCGCTCATCCAAATAAGAGAACCAGGTCTTCCTGGGGATTGTTTGAGCCGCTTCCGGAGGCTGGAAACCCTTTGTGAGCTTCGGCGATTCCATGAGGTTCCAAGCCAGAGTGCTTTCTGGACTATTTTGTGGGGTGGCTATTTTGGGACGTGGGATGGAGCAGACGCCTAAGACTGCATCAAATGACGTGTACGTTGCATGATTTAGCTTTAATAAAGAATAAACGAAGTGGGCGTTAACGAAATTTTCCTTCCAGGGCCCCGCGTACGCGGGCAGAACTGACCAATCACCAAGAATTCCCCCTCTCCCCCTCAACGAAGCATTTTGACTAGCCGCGCCACTGATAATTCCACTGTTTGAGCCTTTGCGACCACAGCTTGGTAACTTTTCTGTTGAGAACTACATAGCACCGTTCACGCAACTACCCCTCAATTGTGTGCCGTCTCGAATGTGGTTTCGTAAAACTAACCTCAGTCATGTTTCATAACTCTCAAAATGTGGCCTTACGAGGGACACGGCACGGTCCATCCGCAGTGGGCATGATTAGACGCTTTCCCGTTCTGAGGCAAGCCAAAAGCTAGCGGCTGCCGTCCCTGCATTCGTAATGTTCTCGACAAACGCATAAGCCCATCACCAGCATTTCCCGGCTCTCATAATGCGGATGATAGAAAAAGGCCAAAGGCATTACCTGGCTCCACCACGCAACACAGTCCTGGCAGGGTTCAACGCAAGGCGATCGAGGCTTCGACGATTGCTCTTGTGTGTCTCGATTATTCAATGTTGGCTAGTCCCGACGGCGTCATAACCAAACAAAGATGTCAACACCAACAGGGTAATGACAAACAACCTCATTGACAGCAAGACTCACGGCGGACCGGCGAGCCGGAAGCAGCCGCGCCCGTAACTCCCACAAAGTTATACCACGGGACCGCACACCTTATGATTTCGATATGCTTTCCAATTAAACGCCGATAATTATCATCATGATATAACACGGCGCCGATCTGTCCGCTGGCTGCCGGTACTGGGCGTCCGTACCGTTCCTGCAGGCGACCAGCATGCGGTACTCCACGTCGAACAGGCCCGTTACCGTCAGGATGGCGGGAACGCTAGGCAGGTGCAGCTGAAACACAGGCGGGCGTGGTGTCACATCTCGAGACGGGCACACAGTCGGGGGTCCGGATACGCCGACAGCTCCCGTCGGACAGACGAAGACCCGGGCTGCGGACGGACAGGCGGGCCCGGACTAACAGCAGCAGAGCGTCATGACACCGAACTACAGCCGACCGTATGACACCGACGACAAACGAACAGACGGCACCGGACCGGACCGCACTCGGCTCCGGACCGGACCGGACCGCACAAATGTCGTCTGCCCGGACGCCACACGACTTCAGCGTTAACGACGACATTCGATCCGTCGCGCCGTCACGCCGTGGACCGCAACGGCCCGGTGGCGCGCCGCCGGCGGCCGAGTCTCACGTTCATCAGCAGGGTGAACGCCTCCGGGTCGAGCACGTACACCTGGCAGCTCTCAGTGCCCAGCACAAGGCAACTGACAGCCTGCTCGTCGGACATGTTCTTCTTCATCGTCGTCATGCACGTGATGACCGTCTGGAGGAGGGGGTAAGAGTCAACGGAGGCTCAGTCGAGGTGCGTGGCACTGGAATCCGCAACACACATGGGATTGGACCGTGCTCTGTGCATGGTGTGTTTGGTTTGGTGTTGTTTTGTACTGCGTACATTGTGAACATGCCAAGAAATAATGTCGGCAAGAACATCGGATAGTTAGGGACAGGATGCAAAGTGATGTCTTACAGCGCGCTGAGGGCTGTGGTTCGCAGACAGCATTGAGACCACAGGTGGAAACGTATTCTACGTCAGGTCTTAGAGGTAACCTCAACAGCATGCAGTGCTTTGAGCACGGAGTGTTCTACCATCGGACAAAACAGGCTCTCATTTGATTTACGTGAGCGCGATTCTAATCTATTTCTATCATATGACGGCCAAGCAAAAGAAAACAAAACCACGCTAGAGCTAAATGCAGATCAAGACTACGAAAGACAATATTTCATGAAATTGACGGCCGACTGACGGACGGTGAGCATCATTCCGCTTGCTCAAATGCTCCAACTCGCCCAACCACGGCGCATCCCTTCCTTCAATACCGTCGCACGGTGTCATGGTCGACAAAAGTATGACAGACAGCAAGATCTCCGGGGCTTTAGCGTGCAGAAACATCTAGCACAAAACATTTGCTAGAAAATACTTACCAAGTTGGGTACGAACAAAAAGCTACAACTTTCTTTGGACACAGCTGCTTTCGCAACACCTGAAGCACATATACAGTTGCGTCCGGCCGCCTTCGTTGTCCGCGTCCCCCTGAATACGCACCCTTTTCTTGACCATGAAGTACTTGTGCGACTCGACGAAGGCCTCCCGCTGCTCCTGTGTGCGACACATCAGGAGGTGCTGGGTGCGCGTGGTCAGACAGTGGGCGCCCACGTCCTTCCGCAGCATCTCCAGCGTGTCATACAGCGTGGCGCAGTCGATCATGTCGTCCCTGGCCTGCCAGAAGGAGAGGACACTCACTGTGGGGAACGAGAATGCACCACGGAGCAAATTGCATCTGTGCACTCCAGATTCTTCACTGGACCACAGCATCATCATAATTCTAGTCAACACAAACAGCAAGCGTACAACCGATAAAAATAAAGAAGCATGTAAACCAAACATAACACAACTGGCAACTCTCGAGTTACAGGGAGTGTTCCACATTCGTAAGGGGTCTTGAACTAAAATAGTCATTTTGAAGATCATTCAGTGCGACTCACAGCTCCACCTTCTTAAGACTTAAAATCCTTAAGACTCTGAGCTTCACACCCGTTGATTGTGCGAACTATTTCGGGACCATTGGGGGCATGCACGGCGCTGTAGCAACATCATTCAAATCCTGCAACGCAATTGGCAATGCAGAAATCAAGGCCAGGAAGAATTCATCGTCGAGCCATTCACACCTGGCGTCCATGAGCACAATTCCCTAATAAATGGATGTCAATTGGCTCTAGATCAATGTTGAGCAGGATGTGCAATTTTCAATCACAACCAGTTAGTTGTTTGGATTAGAGCCCTTTTGACCACACACGGTTACTTAACGGCTATGAGATGAAGGAGAATGGGTAAATGTGGGGCAGAACTACATGTGCCAGAGGGCCAGCCGCCGAGCACTAACCCGCGAAGGGACCCTTCGGGGTATGCACTGGGAACCCGGTCGGGGTCCCCCTCCCCCCCCCCCCTCCCAGAGGGCCTCTTGGTCCACTCGTGGCTGTCGCACGCACCCTGTCCCGGGCAGGCGGGCGTAGCGAGGATCCCGGATTGGAGAAGAGGATAACAGAACAGAATCATCATGCTGTGTGCTATATAATATCAGATACTGGATACAATTGGTAGGTTTTGCCATGCAAATGCGACTTGTAATAGAATAACTTAAGAATAGCACCACAACCCAGTATATGAACGCAAGTAAACTTTTAAACCCACCGAAAAATACACAAGAACAATACCAGAAATGGTCAAAACACAAGGATGGCAATTTCACATGGCTAGTTTGGCAGCACCAAGACATCACACAAACATTTCATGATGCAATGAAAAAGTTCCAGGGTATGGTCAAACAATGAGGTAATGAGGAATAAAGAAACTAAATAGAGAAATTGTGTTGTCCAGAACAGTCTTTTCCCCTTCAAAGTACACCAACAGCTACAAGTAAGCTTATTTCATCACATCTGGTGCCTGATCCAATGTTTTCAACTGTGGAATATGGTCTTGAGAGTGGGCATCCCACCTCTTTGTACTTTTCACTTATGCTACACCAGACATGTGCGATTTGATCAGAAATACCAACCTTCTCGAAATCCTTCTGAATAGCTCAGAATTTCGATTTGAAGTAACCACTCGTGCCGAGAAATCTCAATTGACTCCCTGCTCACCACTATGAAAGTAATACATTTTATCTGCCTAGCTCTTTCCAATGTGTGTGTTCTGTGATGTTTGTTACGCCATAATTTATCAGAAAGTTCGTGTAAATAAATACCACCAAAGCTTGAATCATTCTGCTTAGAGAAAAATATATGTGAACATGAGGCTACTGCCCCATGAATTAAACAAAGTGTTATACTATAGCTTTGATTTCTCTCCTATGCTGTTCACCAGAATGACTCTTTTCGAAGGGCACACTGGCTTTGGGAATGGACGTATCACATGACCCATGCGACGGATTGGTTCAAGCTTCAGCCAACCAACTTCTCGGTAACAGACCCTTGCCCGCTGGGCCAATCGCAAACGTTCTTTTATTTGCATAATTTGGACTCAAAAATATTAAAATTGATGTCCTTATTATGACTTCGCAGTGCTGCAGTGACACTTCCCAGTGTTATTACATGACGTAATAAGTCCTGAGGTTTCAAAAGAATATGTTTTCGAAATATGCCCCAAAGGTGAGAATCTCCCTTTTACCCATCCGATCACGCGTGGTTCACACGCAAACAGATGACGGCAATCACGACAACCCCCAAGACGCGTCGAAGCCTCCTGGCACGCGCTCACCTGCGTCCAGAGGTCAAACTCGGACGGGTTAACCTCAAGCGTGGGCAGGGTGAACTTGAAGTAGGGTCGTAGATTTTTGTAGATGTATATGTAGGCGCCCGAGGCCACTGCGATGGCCGGCACGCGTGGCTCGGTCGTGTCCATGTGGAAGGCCACGACGGCGGTCGGCAGGTCCAGCAGCGTGTTCTCCGACATCAGAGATGTGCCGCGGAACACCTGCCGGCAAGCGGCGCCGTCAGGGGTGGGATTGGGGAGACGGGGGGGGGGGCGGTGGCACAAGGACAGCCCCTGGGGCGCTATGGCTGCTCATCACTGGCAGGCGGCTGCACTCTCCCATTCCTCCATAAAAACTGTGTTGCAAGGTCACGTTCAGTGATATCTGAGCATGATGGCTGGAAACAAATAAGTCAGCACCCATACTACAGCAAAAAGATTACACAAACACAATTATTCAATAGCTGGGTCAGCTACTTGAACAACAAAAGATCATGACACATTTTAGTACCAACAAAACTCAACCACTACATAGCCAGCATGTTGGCAATGCCAATGACAAGCTGGTGTTCTTGGATAAGTCTTGCCACATGCCTAATGGTGAATGCAGCGTGACCAATGGCAACATTACCTTGAGCTTCATCTGGTACATGCCAGTGCCCAGGTCAGCGACAATTAGCTTGGCATCACCATCACCATTAAGATCGGACAATGCGATGGATGAGTTGAAGGTGTAGAGTGAGGTCAGAGGGTCACTTAGAGCATCCAACCACTTATCAGACTTCTCTGGCCTGCAAGCAGGACAGCACCAATGAGCACACAGCACATGATATGACTGCATCTATTTGCAAGTCATGTAATACCAGCATCCATGACCACTTTGCTGATTCCACTCAAGCAAATCACACTCATATCTGACCACAAGCTGTTGAAGCAAGGTACACACTGGTTGATAAGCTGTAGGAAGCTTCACTGATATCTTTCAAGATGTTTCAGTAGATGTGGTACAATTAACAAAACACAAATTTTGTAAACATCTTTAAGTGTTGTCAATAAGTTGCAAATATCAAGGGGCTACAAAAATTCACACAGGGGCAAGCTGGCCAATGCACTAGTTGACCAACATAACCATCTAGAATAGACTAAGCAACATAAAAATCCTAGAAAATGACATACTGCTTCAGAGATGTGGTGCTTCCTAAATATGTCTTCTTGGATGTCATGCCTGCTATTGCTATGCCTGTGAAAAGATCAGAGTCCTGCTCAGAATAAAATAAAAAATGCACAAAAAGATCTCTCTCACATGGGATGAAATCTCATGATATATACACACAGTTAACAATAGGTGCCCGGCTTTTGATGCACATGTATTGAACTTTAGATCTCCCCGGTCCCTATGCTAATCTTACCTTTTTGACACATATCAAACCAATTTTGACATGACTCAACCATTTGAAAGTGGCCAAGTTATTTTTTTTAGTAAACTTGTTATATCTGACATGACCATGGGCTAGCAGGCTGACCAATTATCAAACAATAGCAATTGCCTGATTAAGCACCAAATAGTGTGCACTTGTGGGGTGACACATTGAGCTCTCAAGTCATTAACAAACTCTTTGCATACCACAAGAAAGTTGTATCATGACCCTTAGCACATCACTACTTGGCTAAACAACTCACGGCACTCTCAGCTGAGAACCTCACTTTCCAAAACTATCTGAACCAATAGAACCTAATGCGAAAGCCGTTGAACACTGGCATGATCAAATCCACGACGATTTCAGCAAGTGCGAGGCCTCCATCAGGAATGCATAAGTCTGGAGCTGTACTAAATCGTCTTACGGATAATGCCTTCCACCACCTACAATTGTGGTGTCGATATCATTGATTGGCTGAGGCTCGTGCTCAGAACACTAACAGAAATGCCGAAAAAAATATTTGTATTGTGTGCGCTAACATGAATCGCATTTTATGCTTCCATATCATAAAGGAAAGATATATCCATATCTTGAGGACTTGATTGTCCTCCACCCGCATAAAAAAACTGCTCCGCCGACGTGTCATTGGCGCCGAACCACGATCAATACTTATGCATGGGCCGGATAGTTCGGATCGAGGACGGGTCCCGGCTCAATTCGAATCACAGCTGCCCATGTAAACAGGGTAAGTGTATACATGGGCCGGATAGTTCGCATCGAGGACGGGTCCCGGCTCAGTTCGAATCACAGCTGCCCATGTAAAACAGGGTACTTGTTTCTCACAGGTTGATATACCAGGATAGTAACGAAATTCAAGCAAGTTTCAAATGCAAATTTAGAGAGATAAGAGAGAGAGAGAGGAGAGAGAGAGAGAGATAGAGAGAGAGAGAGAGAGAGAGAGAGAGAGAGAGAGAGAGAGAGAGAGAGATATAGATAGAGAGAGAAGAGAGAGAGAGAGAGAGAGGAGAGAGAGAGAGAGAGAGAGAGAGAGAGAGAGAGAGAGAGAGAGAGAGAGAGAGAGAGAGAGAGAGAGCGCGAGCGATAAAGCGAGGGAGAGAGCGAGAGAGCGAGAGAGAGCGCGAGAGCGAGGAAAGGTAGATGGCCCGACTGATATATGAATTTAAGTTGAAGCATTACCACATGTTCGGAAAATACCGCTAACTAAAAAGCTCGATTCCTCTGGAGAGTGATTGTTTTTTGCGTCATTTACGAAAGAAGTAATTATTTCGACCCTTATTTTTCAACACCACATGGAAGCATGCCAAACCGCATGGTTATGTTATTGCATCGACGCATGCCGGCTTTCGCTGGTAACATCCAACAGTTAGATGTCGAGCGCCCTCTTACACTGTCGTTCATTTTGAATTTTCATACATAGCGTGTAAAGACGCGGGCTCCAGAAGCTGTGCATTTTATTCAGCATCATCCCAAATGCAGTGTATGAGGCAACAAGCCGACAGTGCAAGACCGGTAGTTCCCACTTGTGACGCAAGCCATTGTGCCCAAAATTAATGCCGAGTAAACGTTGATTGAGAAGCCATACACAAACACAAATCTGATGGTTTTCTTAAGCGCAGGACATGGCGCCACCGGTGTTGGTCTGGATCCAGGGCAGCACGTGGGTGACGCGGGCGTACACGCCCGGGAAGCCGGGCAGAGCACAGCCCCGACCCCACGAGACGACGCCGATGAGGGAGTAGCGGTCGGACTCGAGGCTGACAAGCGGGCCGCCGCTGTCGCCCTGGCACGAGTCCTTGCCGCCCGCACTGAGACCGGCACAGATCATGGACGGGTTGATGCTGCTGTATGACGACCTGCAGGACGGTGTTGGAGATGACGGGCACGGTGACCTCCCTCAGAGTGGTGGCCTGTGAGCCGCCGGAGCTGGTGCTACCCCAGCCGCTGACGATCGCGTCAACGCCGACAAAGTCCTTACCAGCGGTGGGCAGACAGGCCGGTGCCAGGGTGTTGTCGCTTGGGAAAGTAATGGGGTTGGTCAGCTTCAGCAGCGAGAAGTCGTAGCCGGAGCCGGACGCGGACGAGTAGCTCGGGTGGTCGATGATCTGCTGCACACTGGCGCGCATCTGACCGTCGTTGCTGCCGATGCGGTGCTCCTTGAGCAGGACCTCGATCTGACTGGGTGATGATCCGGCCGTACAGTGGGCCGCCGTCATCACGTAACGGTCGTTGATGACGGTGCCACCGCACCAGGTGCGGGTGCCGCCGG